GAACCACAACTGTACAAGTCCCGCCCACGGTACGTCGTTCCATCGGAACAAGGCCCGCGACCCCGCGTATGTTCTCGTCCTCCGAATCGCTTTAGGCTATTTCCATGCCAGTTACCAGAAAAGGTGAGCTGAATCTTCCGTCTTCCGGGAGATCACCTACCTCGAGTTCATCTCCGTGGAAAGGCTATCAGCGTGAATTCACTCAGGAGCAGCTCCTTGCGGAACGCTCGCAGCCTTGGCCTTCTTGATGCAAGTGTTAAGTCCGAGATGATCTCCTTGGTAGTCGGCGAACTAAAGTGCTTTCCTATGTTGATATAGAGGTGTGCGGCAGTACAGTAGCTGCGTCCCAGGATCTTGACCGCGCAAAATGTCACCCGCGCCGAGCGGAAAGGCTACGGAAACACGGCCAGAGGGCATGCGCCGCGGACTAGCTGTGCCTGTTCCCACTGGTATGGTCGTGTGGACATACCATTACCAGTGAGGACAGCCGCAAGCTTATACGAATAGCCTCTGGTAGCGCAAGTCACGTTTCAGGCCCTAGGCCTGGGTGGTCGTAGTGCCCGGAAAGCGAGGTACCATGCCTGACTGAGACAGCGCAGGCATGTGTACGATTCTGTATGTCGTGATCGAAGCAATGCTAGAGGAACTTGACTCACTACACACTAGGCGGACGCATGCAGCAGGCTCGCCACAGCGCTTTAGGCCGCCTTAACCGAATATGTTATTCTCTGTAGCCGAACCGTTGCAAGACGAATTATGGAGCGTTGGGGCGGTCATTACTCCCTTGCAGCGATCCCCATTGTCCTGATATCCATCCACCAAGCGGTAACGCTGCCACTTGTGGCTGCTACCCAGGGTAGATGAATGGTCGGTGCACGACGATATCCGAAAAGCTATAGCGCATATGGGATGGCTGCATAATAAATACAGACGGTGGCGAAGGGCAGAATGGAGATGGTCGCTATTTGATAAGGAGCACTAACGCGTCAAGCGTCTGGAGGCTATAGGAGACACAGTGGGGAATGATAGGAGGCAGGCATCTGGTTGGTGAGCGAGATAAGTGGCAGGGGTGCGTCCCCAAAGATGGAGAATGGGAGGAAAGCTGCCAGAAGCGGAGGTGAAGAGGCACGAGCGACCCGCGGTATCGAGTGGGAGTAGGGTTGGAGACCCGTGGGGTACACTGGGCCCTACGCCATCGAGGCGGAGGGCTCATAGCTCGGAGAGCAAGCAAGGGACATTTGGCAGGCGAGTTCGAGCGCAAGAGGCTGCTGGTCGTGAGTACGGTCACTGTACGGAGACTAGGGCCGTATGTTGCCGCCGTCGGGCGAAACGCGATCATTTCGCGTCGGACTTGTCGTCTTCTGTCCGAAAGCGGCCGCGACTTAGACGCTGGCCCATCCCCAAGAGTTCAAGTCTGTTGCAATGTGTATAAATCCCTCCCCAACACATTCCTACCCTGTCGCTCTTTTTTGCCCCCTCGTCCCACATCTAAGCCCACCGAGCCCGTTCTTGACTCTAGGTTGTTTCGCTGATTTACTTCGAGCAATGGGTGCGCATGATTGACTACAAACCCCGCTAACCCGCTCACAGGACTCGTCCTCTTTCCAGCCACTCTCGCATCCCGTCCCTCGGTGTCTTCTCCGCTCGCCCGCCCCGCATCTATCGACGGCCCCGCATACCTCCCCGCACGTCCGCAGCCAAAACGCAACCTCTCCATCACTCCCGTGCACTTCCCCACCTCGCGCCCACTACGGCCGTTCCCGAGCATTGCGCAACCGCTTTCGCCGCTCTCTCCCACCTCTTCGCGGAAAGCAATCAAAATCATCGAGCCTCCAAAGAACTTCAAGTCCGAGTTCGTCCTGAATCTCACCCAGGCTGAGTTCAGTCGCCAGGACTGAGCCCGAGCTGCGCGGACGGGTAGGGATGGGTGTGGTTGAGCCGCGGGCAAGTGTGGTGATGGTGTGGAGGACGCGTGCGGCAGCACAGGGAGCTCCAAAATCCGAGCTACGAAGTGACCGCGGCTCTAATCAGCTGCGATAACTACTCAGCGACGAGTATCAGTCTCAGGGCGATAATGACGCCTGTTCGTGTTATGCTTGCGGTATCAAGTTCAGAACGCGCCCAAAACTGCGCACGATGTTCGCCGACGCTTTCCTCGTCGTTGCCACTCCAGCTGTCCGGCTCCACTCTATCCATATCAACGTGTCTCTTACCAACAACCGTTCGTGTCACATATGTCGCTGTTTCGACCTGCATACACGCTCTGTCGGCGCTGGTCAGACTCGCCTCACTCTTCGCAATCCTTTTTCTCGACCCACCTACCTTACGCCAGGCACTGTAGACTAGACAAAAAGCCAACGTGTGTTTCCTGCATTTCTCAGGTCTTCCTATTTTCCATTCTCATGCAGATACCCCGCCACATCCTACATATTCTCTACCTTACCCATGTCCCACTGTTCGTAGTGCATTTTCTCGCCTCAGTCGATCTTTGACTCGCATCAAGAGTCATCTACACTTCTCCTACCGCGCAGCCTTCCTCTTCTTTCACCTTGACGCGTTTGATTCTTCCTGGTCCGGTGTTCAACGTGCCGTGTATTTTTACATTACATGTTTTATCTTTACTACTCTTAACCTTTCTTCCTCCGTACAAGTATGTGTGGTACATTCATGACCACTTGTTGTTGTACTACATCCGGTTTAAATGCAGCAAGGGACATCGTAGATGAAATGCTCAGCTCGGGTGCGCATACCACACAATCATAGGCCTTTTATGACTTCGCACGCAAGCGGTGCGCACTAAGTATTATAATTCGCGGGTTGCTCGGCGTAACATTGGTGCTTCAGGCAAACAGCAAGTCCGCTAAGGATAATAGAGACTTATATGCACAACGCAGGCACACCCTTCCGAAACGTCAGAAAGAGCTTGCTGTTGTGCTAGTGCTTACCGAGGTACAGGAATGCTATCTTCCCCGTGAGGATAGAACTCGCGACCGTAGAATGTAGGCTGTTCACGCTCTACCGACTGAGCCAAGCGAGCGAATTGGCGCCTGAGTTAGGTAATGTTCAACTAAAGACTGCGGAAGCGGCCCGAAGAGGAAGGCGACCTTTGGTTTACTCTCAGTAGCGATCAACGCAAGTTGTTTGTCCCCTTAGTCGACGCTCTTACCTCGCGGTGCCCATTGCATACCGCCAACACACTTCATGCTCGCTCACAACCCGCTCAAGCGACGTGCAGAAGAACCGCTTCTGCCTTTATACGCCCCGAAGCGCCCCCGAAGGTCCCCACCACCCCCACCGAAGTCACTCTCTACCCGCTGGATTGAAGTTGGCGAGAAGGCCATGGATCTCTTTCACGATACCGGTCTCTTTCTCTACTACACAGTAACAGACTTCGTCTTCGGTTATGAGCGCGTGGAGCCGACACAGCCTCATGTGCAGTCACAGAGGCAACTCAAGTCGCAGGCCTCAGGCCACCATCCGTCGTATCCTATCTCTCCGCCGTCATCTTCCCCGCCATCGCCCTTGAAGAAGACTATTTGTTTGAAGAGTGCCATGAAGCCCTCCAGCTCTGATGATATTGTATACGAGCCCCGCAGTTTTCTGCCGTCGCCGCCTCTGTCTTCCACGTCGTCGAGCGAGACATCAGCCTTCTCAAATTTGAACGAAGCGGGTCTAAGCAGTAAGCGTACTGTGAGATTCAAGTCCCCGCCTCCCCCGCCACGCCCCCAGTCTGTCTGCGAAGACGAGTCGGATTTGAGGCAACCGCTGTGCCCTACCAACAACACCATTTCCGATCGCCCACCACTGCCCACCCCACCTCCTAGCAATGCTTCCGGTTCTTCGCCTAGCCCCCCGACTACCTTCTTAGGGCTGTATCCGAAGATTGATCAAGCTCTCACGGCTGCGATCCACCGCCAAACCAAGGCCAAAGCCAAGGTGCCGCGGAAAATCAAGCACCGAGAACATATATTCCATAGTCAATTTAAGGCTAATGTTAAAGATCAATTGAGGAAGACGAGAGAAGACATGGAGCGAGAGCTTTACTTGCTCAGAAAACGAACATGTGGGTATATGCACTTGTTTCTATCTGCCCGTTCAAGCTGACGTCGCGTTAGCCGGCTTCCGATCATCGATGAGAGAATTCCGAGGATGGCTAGGTTATCGAGAACGATTGGAACTTTTGCAAAAACTTGAGGACATGAGGCGTGCGTATTTTAAGGAGCTGGCTGTACGTTAGTACTAACATGCCCGCTTATAGCCTCACCGTCTCTCGAGGATCTGCGTGATGCAGACCTCATGCCTCCAATATCGCGAAGCAAGTCAAATCCTGTTGCGTCGACCACGTATATCCAGCGTGCCCTCCGGGATGCCGAAAAGTCGCTTTTCGCTCCCAAACCTGTTGTGTTTACCCCATCACTCGCGCGGCTACAAGCCACACAAGCGAAGACCTCCGAACAAATCGATGCTCGTATTCGGCCAAAACACCCTTCTCTACCCGCGTCGCTTCCGCCAGGAGACGAGTCCAAGGTGGAAGAGCTGCTTCGGAAGCGCGGCGTCATTAGCAAATGCGTGCGCGAGCAGGTCAGTGAAAAGGACCTCCAGCGACTGCGCCCAGGCCAGTGGCTCAACGACGAGATTATCAACTTCTACGGGCAGATGATCACGTGTCGGTCGGAGGAAAGCAAAGAGAACCAACGAGAAGACCTGTTGAATGTGCACTACTTTAGTACGTTCTTCTGGTCGAAGCTCAGGAACGAGGGATACGAGAAGGGCAGGCTGGCGAAGTGGACAAAGAAGGTACTTGCTCCCATTCCTCAAACTAAGACCTCGGCGGCTGATATTGGACTGTGCGCCACAGTTCGATTTGTTCTCAAAGGACATCGTCCTCATTCCCGTCAACCACAATAACTCGCACTGGACGGGTGCGGCGATCAATTTCCGGAAGAAGCGGATCGAAAGCTACGACAGCATGAACATGGACCGAACGCAAGTGTTCAAGCTCCTGCGTGCGTACCTCGACGCCGAACACCGGAACAAAAAGAAGAAGCCGTTCGATTTCGACGGCTGGGTTGACTGGACACTCGATGACACGCCGCAGCAGGAGAACGGCTACGACTGCGGCGTTTTCACGTGCCAGTTCCTCGAGACACTGTCGCGCGGCGAGGAGAAGTTTGCCTTCACGCAGACGAACATGCACTACCTCCGGAGACGGATGATCTGGGAGATTGGGCACGCAAGGCTTCGGACCGACACATAGTCGACCCTTCTAGGCAGTGCTTCCTCTCGTCATCTTTCATCTGTATCATTGCATTCATCTCCATCATCCTCGCATCTATCTTCATCGTCCTCGCACACGCATCGGTCCCAGCTCTGCTTCAATCCATCATCTGTCTCGGCATCACATTCGGCTTCGAACATTTGCATTACATTATTCGTACATACAGCATCGTGCATCGGGTTCGAGTTCTGTCTCCTGTGGTTTCCGTCGTATTGTACTTGTATTCTTGGTTTTGTCCCTTGGCGTCTGTCTCCGGTTGTTTTTTCATCTCTCTCTCGCTTTCTCTCGCGCTCTCTCTCTCTCTCTTTTTGGCCGCACCAACAAAGAACTTGACGTCGTCCTGCGCGGACGTCGTCCCCCCGGTCATTTTTGTGTGAAGCGCGCGAGCGAAAGTGTGGATTCCAAGTTGAACAGTGACGAAACAGAGGATACATGAGTGATAGAACATGTCCGCACGCCAGTAACGAGAAGAGCATCCTACGACAGTTTCGTAGCGAAAGGCAAAGATTTGTTTCCAAAATGGAGCAGTAGCCAAACGTTGTGAGGTTGCTACCGGCGAAACCACCAGACAACAATGAAGAACCAGAAGACGAGGACGAGAAAGACGATGTACCAGAGCCATCGGCAGCCCTGGCGCGCCGCCATGTTGTTCATCCGCCGGAAGGTGCCTTTGAGGATGCCTGATGTCTCCGCAAAAGCGTCGTTCTGCATATCAAAGGTGTTCGGCATGAGCATCACGACCAAAAGGGGGAATAGCAGACAGACGCACCATCTGGCTGAGTTGGACCGTCGAGTCCCTCACCTCCTGGCCGATGCCTACCGTAATCTACGTCCTACGGTCAACTACATCGCCCTTGGACACTCGAAGAACACAGCAGACTTACTTACATCCTTGAGTAGCTTCACCTTGGCCGTGAGGCCCTCCAGCGCCTCGTCGTTCTGCCCCTCGAGATCGTCCGCGAAACGCTGCCCGGCCTGAAACGGGTTCCCGCCATGTCCGCCAGAACTTCCCCCGAAGGGTGACGAGCGTCCGGATGACGGCGGCGTGTAGTACTCTTGCGTGCCTAGCAGTGCCGAACGGTTGTGTAGCGCGCTGTCCGCGTTCGGAGCCCTGAACCTGCTGCTCGGACGGTCCACAACTGAGCTCGAGAGCAGGATGCGTACGGATACGTTTTGGAGACGGACCTTTGTGACATTGTTTGCGAGTGAATCAAGGTTGAGTAAATGTGCAGACCCGCTGCGTCCGAGGTTAAGAATGATGCGGGGAAGGAGTGCGTGGTACAGCCGCAAGTAGGGAATGTGGGGAAAGGTACAGTGTTGCGGAAGCGCCTGTCGGGGCTCCACGTCAATGGCTGTCAATGGCCTTCTCACGTGTCAGAACTTCGACAGACGACCAGCGTTGTATCTCGATAACAGGAAATTAGGAATACATTCAGACAATGAATGGGACGCGGATCAGCACTTGAAGCGCGGCAAATTGAACATTTAACGAAGTGAAGGTGTAAACGAAAGATACTACGTTATCACGAAGAGGGTCAAAACCAGCGAAAAATATGTGACATGTAAAAGATACCAAGGTTGGGTGAAGTGTAGTGACAGTACGCCCAGGAGTATGAGACCAGCAATACAATCGAGCTAAGATATGCAACTGACGGCCAAGCAGGCGGCAGAGGAAGATATGATCGTATCGTGCAATCCTCGCTCGTGACTAGGATCGGCGACTGGACGAAAAAGGGATAGGCGAATATAAGGTCTGTGACCGTGGGATATGAGTCCGTATGGTGATGCATTGCAGTAATCGGGGCAAGGGGTGGTGAGACAATAGTACAGTTCAGGAATACAAGTCCGTTGGATCAAGCAGCGACGACAAGCCTTATTCGATGCTCATCCGGTTTGGATGTGTCGCCATGGGTCCCCTGTGGAGTTGCAGAGACTTGCCGCGCCGCGTTGCTGTACTCTTCGACACTGATGATCTAGTGAGCGTCACGGTGACAACTAGAAAAACACCCAGAACGTACTCTGCGCCTTCAAGCCCCGGCCAAAGTTTTGCATAACAAGGCAAGCGAAGATAAATGTCGCTATGAGCAGTATTATGGCCAGAACCGCTGTAACATATATCAGTATTAAGTTTCAATCATTACCATCGTGAATACAACAAACGTACAAAACGTTGTCAGTGTTCCCATACC